TATAGCCAAATACCCTTTTTGGCCCTGCCCCTCAGCCCCCTGGGGGGTCAGCCACACCATTTGTACAATTTTAAATCCCTGCCTCCCAGGAATGCTTTTGATCAAATATGATTGATATCCAGTGCACAGTTCTACAGAAGAAGTCGTTTGTAGCAATATAGCCAAATTGCCCCCTTTTGGCCCCGCCCCTAAGCCCCCTGGGGAGTCAGCCCCACCATTTGTACAATTTTTAATCACCACCACCTAGGGATGCTTCCAGTCAAATATGGTTGATATCCACTTCTTAGTTTCAGAGAAGAAGTCGCTTAAAGCAATATGGGCAAATTGACCCCTTTTGGCCCCGCCCCTCAGCCCCCTGGGGGGTCAGCCCCACCATTTGTACAATTTTGAATCCCCACCACATAGGGATGCTTCCAGTCAAATTTAGTTTGATTCCAACCAGTGGTTAACAAGAAGAAGTCGTTTAAAGAAATTGTTGACGTACGGACGGACGGACGACGGACGCCACGGTATGGCATAAGCTCACCTTGGTCCTTCGGACCAGGTGAGCTAATAACATAATCATGCAGTATTGCCAACATGTTGCACTTATATTACCTCCCTTTTCTTCGAGTTAGCGGGCGCAAGGCGAGAGCCGACGGTTCCCGATTGACTTTAGTGTTGATGATGTGGAACGCGACCCCTCGTGCGCTCTCTTTTCTCAGCATCGATATGTCCCAGTACGAATTCTGTGAACATTCCTGGGTTCGGGATCATTTAAGTCTGTAGTGTTAATTGATTAGATTGCTCGCTGTCGTATACTTGGGTTTCGTCACTTCCGGTGAAGTCTCTGGAGTTTTTTTTAGGTGGCCATTGGAAGCATATTAAAACCAATGTAACACTAGAATATCCATGTCCAGACCATGATGCATATTACATCTTTAAATATTTATAAGCAGGGTCTCTTGTGTGTCCTGACAAGCAGCGTCTATGGTATATTCCCCCAGGGATGTGTAGTGTCCCTGATTCCCCCATCGTCGGATACCCACGGTTGATTTCGCTTCGGTACTCACTCATTACTGAAGCGAATTCAACCGTGGGTATCCGACGATGTGATTCCCCTGACAGAGTGACCTTCCGTCGCAGTACCCAAATCGGGACACTTGAAGGAAAATTAAAGTCACAAGAAATTTGCAAGCTGTCTAAAGAAGTATTTTCAAATTTTAAATATTGATTTAAAGATGCTGATATACCAATAAAACATCATATGAACTTTATCTACTGCCACTTATGGTTACAATCACAGTTATAGTTATAAATAATGACGAAAATGTAACGTTCTAAATTGATGCGCCCACCAATTTTTGTATGTGTTTTTTCACAATCTTACTATTTCACAACTAATGGTAGTTTTGGAAAAGAAATTCATTCAGAACGACCATTGACTCTTAAATATTCCAAAGATATGCCATGTTCTGAGCTAGATACTTTTGTCATCTCTAAATATAAGCCAAAACTGGTAGGGGTGTCCCGATTTGTGTACAGCTATACCGGTTTCGCGATTACGTAACCATGGCTATATTTCCGGGTTTATTTAAAGAACCATGCGCCAGAAATATCAACTTGTTATCAAAATGAAAAGATAGTAATATCTAATTAGGAAAAGTGAACAAAAAATACTGGGATCGGTACTATGGTACATCAATATTTCACAAAAAATTGTCCCGGAAATAGAAACGACCGCCATGACAGATCACGCGTGATGCTATCTCAATTATCCTTTCTATATATGGCCTGCATGGACAGGTTGGCTCCACCTGGAACTGGTTAAACTTGCTTCTGTTGGCTTGCAGTGTATATACTCCGAGCAGGATTTTACACTTGAGATGAGCTTTAGTGACTGTCATTGGTTCTGTTCCAGCAGACTCCCAGGTGCTATGTACTCTACCAATGGTTAGCTGGTCCACGTCCAGATATTTCAGGCTCGTCTTCCCTTTTGCATCCTCCTGTAGTGTTCTTTCCCAGTGTGAATTCACAACCGGATACACTTGTTTTTTCCACGTCAGTTTCCCAATGGGGTTTTCCAGTATGTCGTGAGCACTAGGCAAGTTATACTGCTGTAGGATGTCCTTTACGGCTACAAACCAGCTATGTGAGTTCTTATCTTTGATGGCCAGTTGTCGTTGTGCTAGCTCGTTTTCAAGAGATCCATAATCCCTACATATACTGCCAAAGGTGGTTAAGATGCGTTTGTGTATTTTCGCTGTGAGTGGAGGTTCTCCAAGCATAAGGTAGGTGGCAGCGTCGGAGACTTTGTCCGGTAAGTGCTGGATTTGTTTGAGAAGCCTTTTGTAGTAGCAGTCTTAGTTGTTACTGTCTTTGGAGCTGAGACGGATGACGTCCAGGCCATACACCAATCTGGGAACAATATATATCCGTATAAGGTGCAATGATACTTTCGGATTTAATCCATCGATCCCGTGGAGGCCTGTCCCCATTAGGGCATAATGCGGCTCTTCTCGCAGTGGTGGTTTTATCTGATGTTACACAGCTGTGTGTTCCATGTTTAGATGAACAGTCTCTTGGTATGCCGAGGTGAACAGCCGAATCAGAAATGGTTATGTCCTTATTGTTTAGCGTGAAGGATTGTGAGGTATCCCGTTCCTTCGTCAAACATAGCACCGTTGACTTTGTTTCGCTGATAGAATATTGTTCCAAATTGGCGTAGTTTTCCTGGATGGTGAGCATCGTTTGGAGTTCATGCGGGTTGCTGGAGGCAAATGTTACATCGTCCGCCACTGTCGAAGTGCCGGAGTATATAGTTTCAATATGGCTGCCAATGTTGTTGGCCTCCAGCATCTTCAGGAGGGGATTTATAAACACCTTGTAGGCTGATGGCGACCACACTCCCCCTTGTCTTACGCCCTGTTTCTCGCAGAATTCCCCGGAAAGTTCCTTCCCCCATCTGACCTTTGACCTAAGATCCTTATACCACTCGTTGAGTATCAACCATTGTCTCCCAGTGATCCCTATGGAGTGTAGCTTCCTCAACATTGAGCTATGCCAGACCTTATCAAATGCTTTTGCAGCGTCTATAAATCCAAGATACAGGGGTTCCTTTCTGTCCTTTGCTTCTGCGATGAGTTCCGTTACTATTAGACCAGCTCTTGTCGATGAGACTCCGGCTGTAAATCCATATTGGAGCTTACTTTGACACGAGGCTATTTGGGATTCCGCTGTTTTCAGATGGAGTTTTTCAAGCAGCTTCCCAGCAATGCTAGACACTGTAATTCTCCTGTAGCTGTTTGGGTCGGATAGAGGTTTACCTTTTTTCTTAAAGATGGGTGTGACGATTCCCAGTTTAAATTGGTCTGGCAACTGGCAGGTCTCCAATATAAAGTTCATAAGCCTTGTAATAGCTGTCAACAGTTTTGGCCCTCCGTACTTTAGGTGCTCACTGGTGACTCCCAGCACGTCAGGTGACTTTCGATTCTTCATCGACATGATTGCATCTGTCACATTTTCTTCATCTAGAAGTATTGACTGGCCAGGTTGTGACCTGCATAGGTCTTCTAGCAGTATGCGATCGAGCTCCACGTTGTTATTATATGACTTGTCCATATTACTGTCGGGTTCTGACAATGCTAATTCTTCAAAGTACTCTGGCCATCCTTGCTTAATTTCGTCTGTCGTTTTAAGAGACTGTCCATCAACAATTAGGTGGGATGTATTCTTAGCTCCATCTTTCCGTTGTTCTTTTATCAGCTTATATAAGATGGTCTGGTCTCCTTCATGAGCCTCCATTATTTCCTTATACCTCATTATACGTTGCGTTGCAACAGACTGGCGCTGGCACTGCCTAAGTTTCTTCTTTGCATCTTTCATGTTTGTGTAGAAAACGTTGTCTGGTTCCACTGGTCTACCATTTTCCTTCCATTGCCAGTAGTATGCTTTACTTTCCTTGCAGGCGTTCTTTACCTCTGATGACCATTCATACACAGTCTTGCGAATTTTCATTGTCCTGTGTGGTTTACATAGATCAGATGCCTCGGTAACAATACTGTATAGGGTTGATGTTATCGCATTAACGGAGTATTCACTGTCCATGTCCAACTCGTTTAGCATTCGTGAAACTAGTTCCTGGTATTGTTCAGTGTCTATCTTATCCCAGTTTGTTTTTGTGGTGACATACTCTGGTTTATGGCAGGTATTCACTGTAGCAATAGGCAGACATACGGTACCTTGGATCGGATCGTGTTGGGATGTATTAAGTGCCTCCCTCTGAAGAGTCCTGTATGACGTTATGTTTACTACAATTTCCATATTGGATCATGACACCCATATTTGGTCGTCTGACCTATATCGGAAGAGAGACGAACTTTCCAACATGGCGGTCAATTCAGATTTCGATTACGCTTGCTACGTTAACTTGATAATTTAACGACATTTTAGGCAGAGGTAAACTTCAAGTTGTGCAGGATATCAACAGAAATAGTTCATACTAAAACCTTGTTTATGGATGCGGACCAATGTGCTGTCAATTAATTCTAAAATCGCCCCGGTGTGATTCACACCGGGCTTGCTCCATTACAGGGCATGGGATCGATTTAATACCCGGCCGGGTATTAATATTAGTACTAGCTTTTGAGCACACGGGAGAAAAACTTGAATCTGTCCTTTTAGAAGCAGCGTGTTGATCGCCATTCTGGGACACGTTTTGAAACATCCGTAGACTGGTGGACCTGTTTGATGATGTTAATGTAGTAACATACTTCCGAGAAACTAATCATCCCAATGAAAGGCTGGATGGACAACCAGACTGATGACGCTGGATTGACTTATGGCGACTACGAACAGACTAGTACCTAAACATTACAGGTTGGCAACTCAACGTGCAGTCCTCGCAAGGAAGGAGGGGCATACACATCAATCAAGCCATGAAGCAGCAAGAGAAACACTCCTAGAGCATTAGAGGAAGCGGATGGGAGATGAAAGTTTCATACAGACAGATTCAACAGAAACAACAGGGATGGCACAAACGACGCTGACAGAAGGAACAACCGGGGTTTGTTCAAGCAAGAACAAAGGGCGGAAGTTGACTTACATACATGTAGTTACAGATGCAGTGCCCAGAAGTATTTTACGACGAGACGCAGGATGATTCCACCCAGGAGGCACCCAACAGCGTTAAGAGCATTTCCACTTCGGTTTCATCACAGGCCAGCAATTTAATTCCTGTAGGAACTCTATCTAAATCAGAGATTTATAACAATAGAAAATCTATCGTTATAAATCTCTGAGTTCCTACAGGAATTAGCCAGCAATTCAGTCACGATAATTTTGTTCGAGTACAGCCAGCACGGATGTTAAGGTTTGAACAGCCGTGGAAATACAACAGCGATACATGAAAAGAATTAGGCTATGACTAACTACCATCCTCGAGTCAGCTATGGCAGGAGGCTTCGACAGAAAAAGTGGCGCCATGGCATGTTTGATCACAAGGTACAGAGAATAGGATTACACAAATATCTTACCAAAACATCTGGGAACGTGGCAGCCTTAGTCAGACTGAATTGATTTAGGAGGAAAAGTAGGATAGGGTTAAAAGGAGAGAGGTCCTATTTCTTTCAAATACAGAGGGTATGTGATAAAAGCAAGACCACACACTTGTGTTTTTCTAACGAATCAGAAAGCACTCGTATATATTCGTTCGCTCGCGCAATAAATGAGTGCTTTCTGATTCGTTAGAAAAACACAACTGTGTGGTCTTGCATATGTATCATTCACTCTTGTTGGCCTGGATGCCCCTTAATGCAGGAGGAAACAGGAGTACCTATAGAAAACGTATATGGTCGGGCAGGTGATGACCCCAAACCTTTTCATGTCTGATGGAGGAATCCACCACAGCAGTCTTGGTGAAAAGCGAATGTTATCCATTGCGCCACCCAAACGGCAAAAAGGCAGTAAGTTGATCACCACTGCTAATCCACCATCAAGAGGCGTTGTAGACTGATTTTGCAGTAATCCATCAACAACATAGGTTTATGTTTACATTTTATGACGGTTTTTCAACTTTACATATAACATTTATTGTTATCAATATAAATTAAACCACCAAGAGACAAACTGAAGAGAACCCTTCTTTAATACTACAGTGACACAGTGATAATGGGTAACAATTGATGTAACAAGATACTGTATTCAGCTCTAAAATGTCGTGCTATACAAAGGTAGAGATGTACAGGTAAACAGGCTAGTTTTGATGTCCACCTGACTAAAAGTATCATGTAACATGAAATTTTTTTGTTTCAATATTTCTTACAAACATTCCAATATTTGTTTTTTCTGCAATTCATAAACCTATTCACCCCTGAAATTGCATGAGCTATTCCACCCTTTGAATTGGGAGAATTCAAATGTGTCTTTAGGGGTGAATGAGTTAACTGCTTAATTCAACAGCTGATTTGCAGAGCATAATATAAACATCTTTCTCTCTTTTGCCCAACCCTTCCCTAATTCGAGAAATGACAACATTAAGAATGTTTGTAGAATATTCATTCTGGTTTATTTCATTTCTTTTTCTTTTCTAGAACCCATTAACTGATGTCTTTTTTATATATTATCACAGTGAAGGGTCTGATGCCGCAAACATTCCAAATACAATTCGCACATACAAACGTTATTGTATATTTACAATATTTATCACTCATACCGTAAAATTACAGTTACACTTACATTCAAAACTGTAGTTTTCACACCTAGTTCACTTACACTTCCATCAGCACTATAGTTTACACACATTCTATACTTCCTCCTTCCCTTCCTCAGGCTCACCATTTCTATCATACCTACGCCTACCTATCACATACCCAGTACAAACTTCCCCTGAAGTGATGTATTACAGGATTATCCGTATACCTGCGACAGCATTATCATCAATAAAAACATCCTTGTCTTGCATGATAGTCTCATTGTTTGAACTGTTATGACTCCAGAAACCTTTACCATATAAATCCTGACAACTGTTTTGACACCAGAAACCTTTACCATATAAAACCTGACAACATTGAAGCCATGGTTGTCAATAGTCTATTAAGCTGCACAGAGGTATCTGTCTATACTCGACTTGAAAAACAAGATTGACAGGATCAGTCATTTTCTGTATACTATTTGCTTTGTTCTGTTTCCATTTTGTCACATTACAAAGGAACTGACATTCCTTACAAACTATTGATGAGATACTTCTGTCAATCTTTAGGCAGACACAACATTATGATATCAGGACGGTTTAGCCTTCTTCATGGCATTGAATTCACCCTCCTGTGTAGCAAGCATCTGGTGAATTCTTCGAACCTTACCCTGCCGCTCCTCATCTCTGTAAAACATTAAACAAATCCAGCAGTTAATATCAAGACAATGTAGCGAAATTGTAAAACAGGTCAACATTTATCATAGGTGTCAACCTCTGAAACCTCCAATGAGGGAGGTCTCCCTCATTCCATATTTCTAATGCGGGAGAACATGTGTATAAGTGACTGAAACTGCTTTGCTCAATTTATCTTTCCCTTTTATGTATCAAAATAACTTGTTTGTGTTTTACGTCCTATTAACAGCTATGGTCATTTAAGGACGTGCCAGATTTTGATGGTGGAGGAAAGCCGTGTTCCGAAGAAAAACCACTGACCGATGGCCGGTATCTGGTGACTAACCCATGTAGGTCTCGAACCCACGACTCGGCGTTGGAGGGCTAGTGGTAGCAGAATGTCAGACACCTTAACCACTTGGCCACTGCGGCCCTCCAAAATGAATTCATTTGATTCAGACACACCTGTTATTATCATTACACACCCTGCAGTAACTACATGTAGGAGTTAATTTGACGACAGGATGTAGATTCTGAGTTTGTGTGAGTTTGGACTTGATGAGGGGTATCAAAGGAGATTGGTAAATTTTGGTCAAAATGAGGGAGGGTTGACAGCTATGATTTCATCATATCTCCCTCGACAATATCAGATACGAGTAGCATGTATTCTGGAGACCCCTGTAGACCTGATCAACATGTCTGTAGAACATTTATTTGTTAAATGGAATATATTACATCTTTCTAAACAGAATGTTAGTCCTGTTTCTATTCAAGAAAACACAGTAAGATTTGTAATTTACCTCTCCATTTGGTCCTTGAGCTGTTTTCTAGCAAGGAACTGGTTGTCTTTTCTTATCTCCCTCATGGCACCCTAAGGAACAAAAAATAAAGTATAATATATTCTTGAAAACATGTTCTAAACTTTCTCATTGCACCCTAAGGTACACATGATAAAGTATGGTCAGTTCTAGAAAACATGCAAGATCTAACTATTTTATACAAGCACATTAAAAGCTCAGCGATTGCAATTGTAGGACTGTGACTGATGTTGAATGATAACTAATATCTGATCTAACAATTTTGCAGTCATCAAGGAATTGTCAGAGAAGTTTTGTAAGCTTCCTAGTTAGCAAGCCTATGATGACCTAAATGATTTTTGGTTCACTTAATCTTAATTTTTTTAAAACTAAAATTCAAATGCAAATCCTTACCTTCATTTCTTTTTTGTATTTGTGTAACAACTTCTGTTTTTCATTCAATTCTTTGGATGACGACCTATTTTTAATTTTTCTTTCATCAAACCTGTAAAATAAATGACAAGAATATCACTATATCCCTACAACAACATACTATTTTGTTTGCAGTTCTGAAATTAAAGGAAACACTCTTGAAGTGAGTTCAATGTTTGTTTTAAAGTGCTAACTTCATGCAATTAGATACACTTAGATAATTTCATACAGGTGGAAATTTACATTCAGCTTGAATTTTTATTTAACATGAAACTTCCTAACAGATTGTTGTGATTACTCGAACATTAAGGAAGCTACTTACACCTCCTCCACCAAAGGTTCAAATGTCCTCATCGCCTGGGGTTTCTTTCTGTTCATCAGTAGAGGTTTACGTGTCTTGTTGCTATGGTGACTGATCTCCTCGACCACCATTTCCATCATCTCCTGTGTGAAAATGAAACAAAAACAGTATAATTATTAACTAACAATATTATCTCCCCCATATCAAATTCTTATCTGCGTACATAGATTATCATACAAAACATGTATTTGTATAACAAAACAAGAGGCCCAAGAGGGCCTGTATCGCTCACCTGAATATTTAAGCAGTCATAGCAAAATATTCTCATTAAATATTATATTGCACTAAAAGTATTTCCCTCGCAAACTTTGTTGGCTCCATCTGTTGAAACTACCAGCAAAACATTATTATAAGATTCTATGCTTTTTGATTCTTCTTCAGAAGTTGCTTGACATATTTTTCCCTGTGATCTTGTAAGTAGGTCAATGTCATTTTCCTTCTCAAATTGGTTAGCTCTATTCCAAAAAGCTACCAGCCAAATCTTATGAATCCATTCCTTTTAGTTCTCAAGAACAAATCCATTAAAATGTTGTTGACCTCTGTGACCTCTAAAGTAGGTTGAGGTCATTTTCATTTGCAAACTTTGGTGAGCTCTATCCCGGGAAGTCACCAGCCAAATATTATAATTTTATGCCTTTTAATTCTTCAGAAGAAGCTGTTTGAACTGTTTGACATATTTGAACGCTGTGACCTTGAAAGTAGGTCAAGGTCATTTTCATTCGCAAACTTTGTTTGGCTCTTTCCCAGGAAGCCACCTGCCAAATATTAAGATTTTATAACTACCAGTTCTTCAGAAGAAGTCGTTTAAAGTGTT